TATGAAATCAAATGAAAAACAATAAATTATTCAAATGAAATGTTTAATTTTTATACAATTAAAAATGCGTGAACAATAATAATCCTAATAAAGAGACACAAACGATTGCGCATGCAGATAAAGAATACAGTGAAGACTTAATAACAATTAAAGACAATTTATAGAGACTGCGAAAAACAAAACAAAACAAATTTAGTAATAATCAAGTTATTGTTTCTTAGCCAGGGTCTCATGAAATGCATAATTGAGAAACCAATATAAATAATGAGATCGACAGCCATAAGACGGTGTTACGCCTGCCAAACACTCGAGAACGAAGTCGAAAACAAAATTAAATACACTTAAAAAGAAAAGAAATATTAAAAAACAAAATCAAATCAATATATACGTATATAAAGTAATTCCACTACAAAATAACGGAGAGGACCGCACCAATATCGACACATCGGAGGCAACTCAACGGGACGAGCTGTCGCAGAATGTCCTGCAACATTGTGCGGCAGCCACAAAGTCAAAAACAGAAACGTAAACAGAAAGGAAAACTTCGCGAGTTGGTGCTGCTGGTGGCGCTGCTGCTGCTGGTGCCGGTGCCCAGCCAGAGAGCTGGACCAGCGCCAGTCTACGCCTGGTTCTACGATGTGGAGAGCGCACCGCATGCGAGCGTGGCCAGCATCAGCAGCATATCGGAGGTGCACAGCTTTAAGGTGCCCGAGACGCGCAACTCGTACAAGTCGCAGCGGACGCAGCTGGTGCAGCAGTTCCCGAGCAGCGTCAATCCTCATTGGAGCCACCATCATGACGGGCCGGTGCAGCGTCGCCAGCTGGTATTCGTGGCTCTGCTGCCGTCGGTGGAGTCCGATAACAAGAACGACTGCATCATGCCGAAGGTGCTGCCCGTGCTGGAGCTGGCCATTGGGCACGTGCAACGCATGGGCTTTGTCGGGGGCGTTCAGATTGACATTACATTGATCTCGCGCGACACTTTCTGCTCCTCAACCTATGGGCCGCTGGGATTCTTTGAGATCTACACGCAATGGCCGGAGATGAATGCCATCTTCGGATTGCCCTGCGAGTACGTGCTGGCGCCCATCTCCCGTTACGCGGATGTCTGGCAGATTCCCTTGCTCACGACCGGCGGCAATGCTGGCGAGTTTAGCAAGAAGACGGAGAGCTACTCGACATTGACCCGGCTAAAGGGCGCCCAGGTCAACAATCTGGGCAACATGGTCCGCGCCCTAATTAACACCTACAATTGGACACGCACCGCGCTGATCTATCAGAACGAGAACGCCAAAATCAAGGGCAACTCGGTCTGCTTCCTCTGCCTGGCGGCCATCCACGCCACCATCGAGAAGGAGTCGGTTTACCAGCTCGGCTTCGACACCGCGCACTGGACCAAGGCATATATCATACGTCTGCTCCGCAATGTCGCCATGCGTACAAGAAGTAAGTGAAAGCTATCTAGAGCTTGACTTGCAATTCCTAGTCATATATTTAGGAATTTAATTTGTCTACTAAATCTTGTATTAGACTTTAAACTTATCCTTCTATTTATTACGAATAATTCCTTAAATACTTTAATTTACTTTGATTCATTTATCAAGTATACAAATGTGTTTAGGAATTAAACTGTTATGCAGCGAATATTTGGGAAGCTTATAATTCATTATGTTTACAAACAGAAACCTGTTGAAGCCTAATTAAAATTTCTCTCCATCTCTTTCTTTGCCTTACTCTTTCCCTCTCTCTTTCCCTTTTCATTTCCATGTCTCTCTCTCTGTTTTTTTCAAAAGCATCTTCTTTGTGAGGTATTACTACTTGTTCATTAGTCATTTGCAAATGACTTATATAGATCATAATTATCGCAAACTAGATTAAATATAATTAACAGGCAAGAAAGTAACGGTTGGGCATTACCGCCAGCAGAATACTCGTTCACGGCTTAATCGCTGTGAGAAATTTGTTTAAGTCCGGTTGCGGAAATATTCGAAAGCAGCGGACACTCGATATCTTGACATTTATTCTTTTATTATTTCCAAAGTACGGGCCGAAATTTGAAAAGTTAAAATGGTTTTGCCTATTTTCTCATCCTTTTTACATACAAAAAATATAATCCTTCTATTATTCTCTAGTTGTTATCTCACGCTTTCATTCTTCAGCCAACAATGTGAGAATTGAATAAAATTATGCAGAGACTAATTAAAAAACATTTTTTTATATTTGGCATATTTACAGGTTATTAGGGTTTATTGATCCGCAATTTTGTATACATTACAGCTTATTGAATATTATTTACAATTCAAACAAACAATAACAAATGCCAAACATGTGTCACGACAGGCAACGCCACGCCGCAATGCAAACTGAGTTCAAAAAGATGCTAAATAAAATTCCGATATTGTTTTAAAATAAGAAGGAACTGCTGTGGATGAATGGCTGCTGAGCTGATCCCAAGTCACAGCTAAAAATGTCTCATATTTACTTCGGGTACAAATATGGCCAGCTGTATCAATAGTTCTTAATGCTGAACGAAAAGCGAAACTTAAGTTCTGCTTAATTATGAAACGAAATACAGAAATGCCCACAATATGTTAGAGTTTTAATATTCACGACACTTAACTTAACTAACCGCATACCATTAAATTCACATTAACAGCAATTTTTGGCAAATTTAATGTACACATTAATGCATAATTATGGCCAACATCAAAGTACAATAGCCAAACGTATTCTACGCCAATAAACGAGATATTCGGGCACACTTTGAGAAGCCGCCAAACAATAGATTCCCCAATTGAACAAAGCTACAAATAGATTTAGAGTTCAAGGGCAGCCAAATGAAATACTTATAACAATTATTATTTTTGATGCTCAGACCTCAATCTGAAATATTGCAGATTCCATTTACACATCAATTAGTATTACTTATTCTACAAGGTATTTTCGAATCGATTTTTACATAGTAAACCATATTTCAATGAGGAACCGGGTAATTTGTATTCAACACGCTTCACCCAAGTTTTGAACCTTTTGTTTTTAACCCGAATGCAAATCCAATTTATAATATAATTTAATAATAATCCCAATATATTTTGCATGATAAATATATTATGCGATTATTAATTAAGTATTTCTTCAAAATTATAATGCCTCGTGAATTATATCAGTTATTGGTATATTAATTGCCTAATTTATTATTAATATTAATTGTTTTAAATGATATCAGATCGGAGCTCGTTTGGTTCTTCAACTTTCAACGCAGAAATCACACTGACACACATAATTATTCAGATGCGTATATGCATGTGCATATATGTATATATAATATGACTCAGTCTGGTCGAGCTGGCAATTTACATCGACAGCAGCAAACAGTAATCAGTTTATACTTGGACTCATTCGCAAAGTTCACGTAAATGTAGTATATTTATGTATGTGCATATGTATGTGTGCATATGTTCTACATTGCATCCCACTTTAGTTTTGGCAGCTTTGTGCAATTAAATCAAATCTAGCTTTTACTCTGAACTTGACTCTGACAAAAGAGAATCAAGCATCATGGAAATAATATTGCTTAGAAATTCCTACAAGGAAATAAATTTCACATAAGTGAAGCTCAGAAGCTTATGATTTTAAATATTTTATGGTATACATTTGTACAATTTATTGCTTTTTCGTATCTTAGTTAATTCTTAATTAATTATGTATATATTTTTTAATTCATATATATGTATATGTCCTTTAAATATTTATCTTTAAATACCTTAAATTTTATAATAAACATATAGTATTTATATATTCATTTGAGACCTGAAATTCGCTCAATTATAGGGTATACAGAACACGTCAGTATCTTTATGGCATTTATCTACTTGTGTGCTGCGTCCGTCTGTTTGCGAATTGGCCTGCTTTTAAATAATTAAACTAATCCTCTGATAGTGGAAACAAAAATTGTATGTAACATTTGTAAATTGCATGGCAAGAGAGAAATTGACATAAATTATTTTGTTATTATTATTGCCAATTACGTATTAGCTTTGCATAATACTTGTAATAAAAATCTCAAAATTAAAAAGAAAAAAAACAAAGAAAAAATTTCAAAAAACTTTACTCTTCTGATTAAATTATTTTTTTATTCTATATAATACAAATCGATTTTCGTATTTTAAGATATGACTTATACATGATGAACACAGGCCTTTACATTATATATATACTAATATAATATATGTAGTAGTAGAATACTACTAAGTAGTTATTCTGTTGAACATAACTTACTCTATATGTATGAGCAATCTGCAAGAGTGTTGCCCATCTTAATTGATTATTTTCCATTCTGTTTTGTTGCGCCCAGACAAAGATTTCAAAAAAACTACTTTATGAACTTAAGAGTCATTACGAGTCAGTTCAACTACATCAAACTCTTTGAGTTATCTGCTGACGTCAAAGAAACTGACACTAAAAAATTGAAACAACTCAAAATTGAACTTGAGCTCTGTCAATCGCAGAATTCTTCTTCTGCAAAACATGGTGATCCTAAACCCCATTTAGACTTCTAAATAGATTTATACTTGACTCGCTCAAATGGAATCATCTTGTTGGATGGGTTATCTATAAATAAAATGTCAGAATATTAATTCTAATATTAACGTGAGCGTAAAAAAGGGGTAAAAAGGGGTGCACAAAAAAATACTATTTGTCTATAAGTATAAATATATCGAAAATAATAAAAAAAATAAATTTAAATATTTATATAATACAAGTAAAATTAACTCTTTAGCTGCCTTACCAAACATACAAGCTGAAATAAATGAATACATTTTAATGAAAAAAGACAGAAGACAGTGCTGCTGCCCCTACTTTTGTTGAATTGTAATTCAAGGTAGACAAAAGTCTGAAGTAGTTCCGAAAATGTTTTCTTTTCAAGCTGTTGCCTGAGATTTGCAATTTTTGCTTTAGTTTTGTTATTTACTTCTATTTTTGTTACGTTTTTTTTGCAGTTGTCATTATGTGCGCCGATCCGCAGTCCATACGTCAAATTATGCTGACAGCCGAGGAGTTGAATATGATCGATAGCGGCGAATATGTATTCATCAATATTGAATTATTTTCGCGGTGAGTACAAATACAAGTATCAAATAAATATATAAATTACTCAGCAAGCCCAAGTATGGAGCAACAACAGTAACAATCACAACAACAACCACAATAATAATAATAATAATAATAATAACAATAATAATAACGTCAACAATCACAAAAACTGATATTTGTAGCAATCGCTACAGTTTGTGGCCTTTCACTTTGGCAAAGCATGCGCACTTTGAATATTCTTTACAAAGTGCGCATAATACATGTTAGCCAAGGTTATTAAATTATGAAATTTACCAACAAAAATAGCTTTAAGCGATTCCAAAATGCTGACCAGTCAGCAATTAATATCTATTTATAAAACGAGGAAATTCCGATATTCGACACATGTCTGACTTGACCATTATTACCTCTAATGGCCAACGCAGAGGAAAAAAATACTGATTCGCGTCAACACGAGCCCCCTCTTTCCTCTTTCAGCCCTCCCCGATCATCATCTCCGATAGATAGCTGCTGTTTAATTACTGTGATATCTTAAATTAGCCGAGTCATTGCTTCCTCGCACCCACGTATAACGCGCGTCTTTGTATTTGCAATATTAACTAAGCCGCTCTAAGATATTCTATTTATAGACTGATGGCTTTTTAGTCAAGTGACATGATAGTTGAGCTGAACTGACACGACTGCTGAATTAATTTGTAGTCGATTTCCAATCGGCGTGACTAAGAAATATCCTGTAAACAGTTTTGAGCTGCTGGAACTTATCTCTCTCTCAGGAGATTATCGTTCCTCTCAAAGTTCAAAGTTTTGAAAACTGATATAACTAAAGCAGATTCTAAGAAACAATTGAATTATAATTAAGAACGTATATTTATTTAAAAAGGTCCGTTTCGACTCTGCTACATAAGTTTGATGTAGATGTGTTTAAATTAAAAGAAGTACCGCAGCATATAAGCTATCATGATTTCTGAAATACTAGAATATATCACACCCCTAGGGGGCGAATCGGGCAAAATCAAGTCACTAAAGTTAATAGAGGCGAAATGGCTTGCACTCATAAGGACAGACCGACATCCAGACGAGAATTGCACTTCACTTTCCTGTCAGAATATGAATAGTAGGTTTTCTTTACATAATCGAAACGGGAAGTTCTTGACACACAGCTATAGAGGCATTTGAATTATATTTGTGTCTTGTTGATTAGTAAATTTCATAAGTTTTGCTCTGCAATGTAATCAATGACATTAGGGGGTCGAGCTGCCTGTTACTCCTACACCATTGAAAAAGCAACGGCACATTTACAGGTATTCGTTGGCGGTGGGGAGGTAAACAAATAGAAAATATTTGCAAACACATACTACGCGGCAGTAAAAATGGGCGAGCAAAGCCAGGCAGATGGCGGGGCTTTCGTTCTCTTTTGATATGTAAGCGAACAATCGGTATTATTCCTATGTGCATTGCTAGTAAAGCTGGCTAATCACATGACCCCAGTGAACTCGTAATCGATCGAAAATATAGCGAATGAATAAAAATCATCAGTCTATGTGTTGCATTTACTATTGCATTTCCTGATATGGACTCTAAGTTCTATGCAATTTAGCACGGATCGAATTGGACCCATGCTTACTTACTGCTGAAACACAGTTGATAGACTATTGATATAACAATTTGATCTCCTGAGATTCATTGAGCACCAGAACATGGCTGTAATGTGGGTTAAAATTAGCTTAAGAATTTACATCTAACCACATTACATTGATTCATGTTTAGACTCAATTCAGAGTGTGGAAAAGTGATTTTTAAAAATAGTTGAAAACAAATTTAAATTGCTTATTTGAACCGGCTTGGCTGAGTTATTGGCTCTCTGTCAAACCGGTTCGAATATGTAATCTCAATTTGTGCTTATACTCAGTCAAACATTTAGAGGAGTATATTAGCTTCATACTTGTGATTTTCTATAGCAATGACAGCAACAACAAACAGAAGCAAATTTTGAATTATGTATATTAAATATGTATATTAAATATTCAATTACATATATAAAATACCAAAAAAAAATTTGTGTATAAATATTATATATAAAAATATAAATAATATTATTGATGTAACCTTCTGGAAAATAATATCTAATAATTTCTATGGGAAAAATTTACCATTAAAATTAACTATACGTAACTCTCACGCTCTACAAAGGCCATAAGCTGCAATTTTCGACCAATTTTCGAAAATTATTCCCGCATCATCAGCAGCATCATTTTGTGCATTTAGCCAGAAGCAAGTGAATCTGTTTACCAACGATAATCGATTTGCGGCAAATGTCATTCGCTTACTTGGCACAAAGCAGCTGACATTGAGTTGGCAACCCAAACAAGCTTTCACTGATAACAAGAACATGCCCTATTACTGTGTAACGAAATAAATAAATATATGCATGTATAAATGAAATTAATAATAGAATAGATCCGCAGCACCTCGAGGATCGTTTGCTTAAGGGGAGGTGCAACGGATCCAGGCAAAGACCTAGGCACAGAGACACTTCTAGACACGTGCCATATGTGGGCACGTAGACCCAAAACTAGAGAATCTTTATTCATTTTGCAATACATGTATGTACATGTAATTCTATTAATAAATAGTTTATGACGCATATCAGAGGAAAACTAAGCACATTGATAAGCCGACAGTACAAACTGCATAAACCGAACTGATAAGAGGCTAGCATTAAGTGCATTTACACACACACACACACATACACACATGCATGAACTCACACACGCGTAAGCAGATCTGCTTGAGAAGCATCTAATTTTACTTTGTAATCCCGCTTCGCAATTGCAGAGTGCCGTATATGACGTCGCTGCCCTGGTACGATAAGAACGATACCGACTTCAACAACGAGCGCGCCAAGAAAGCCTACACAGCCATGTTGACCGTCACGCCGAAGCAGCCCAATGACGACGCCTACACCAAAGTCTCCAACGAGGTGAGTCCTGGCACCAGAAGGTGGTCTACCGTAATTTGCATGGCAATGGACCTCAGCCAACAGTATATACATAGATTCCTCTGATTTCTCATAGTTCCTTGCGGTCAATTGCTGTGGCAGCATTTGTATACCCTTTGAGAGAGAGAGAGAGAGAGAGGGAGAGATAGAGAGAGAATGAATGTGAGAGTGAGACATAGACAAATTAAGAAATAGAGAAATAGAGAGATAGGTAGATTGTGAGGGCGTGAGTGTGCGGGAAAGAGAGTAAGAGATCGAGAAAGAGAACAAGTTAGTGAAGGAAAAAGTCGTATAGTTCTCTTATTCAATTTGTCACGTTTAAACTTATTTATACAAGATTTTTTTTATTTTTAAAAATTTATTTTAATATAAAAAAATATATACTATTTGATTCTCCAAGACTTTGGCCAACAGATTAGCTGAACCCTTGAAAATCCTTTATTGACAGAGTATTTAACACTCGTTTCTGTTCTCCTTTTTCGACTCGAGCTATTTGTTTGTTTCAGACTCATGCATACTCTACCTACGGTAGTGTACGTGCTCAGAGCCATCCCAATTTGCATTTATATGCGAGCGTATAAATGGTGCCTCTGTGTGAGCACCTGAGCGTGTGTGTGTGTGTTTGTGTAAGTCTGCGAAATTGTAAACATATTTTTGTATATGCACAAGGCAATTACAACGGCAACAACACTCGTCAGCAAGACAGATTATCACAATTGCTCGACTGAGACATCTCCTGTAACTAGCTGAAAGAATTATCAGCTGTCTATCTAGAATTGCAATTACAATATAATATAATTTTTTTGAATTATGCCATCAATGGGAACAAGGTATATTTAAATGGCGCCAGGCTGCTACGCCGGAATGCATTTGTTAGCCAACTCCCGGGAGACACTTGAACCAGCTCAGCTAACAGCATGTAATTATCTTAATGTCTTTTGCTGTGTAGGAAGCGACTTCATGTTGCTCTTGGGCTAATTCTGATGACATTTAACACTTTGTAACTTTGAGAAGATGACGTACATGCAGTCGAACAGCATCAGAAACACATTACTCAAATCATTACGGCAATGCATTGGATAATCGAGTGTCGAAAAGTCGTAACTTTGAGTTTTACTAGGAAACAACTCATAGATTTACATTCAATTATCGCTGGGTTTACCCTACACTACTTACAGCTGATAACAAGCAAAGCAAACTTTGCAACCAGGACAATGGCGCCGCAACTGCCAACGTGGCTTAAATACTTTTAATTTGAATACCCTAATTCCATCGCAAATTCAAATTCGGGGCATAATCATTCTGTTGAGATTTGTTATAAAATGTAGACGAAGGGGGAACATTTACATACATATGTATATAAATCATCTGAGTAACGAGCTGTTCTGACCTTTGCCTATAAAATCTAAAGGATTTTCTATAAATCCCCTTATAGGAGACCTAGCTCAAGTTTGTTTCAAGTTATCGATAATCATCCCAAATCAAATATATCGATTAAAATTATTTCTGAACTTGTCTTTTGTTGAAAGATTGAGTGTACTTGAACAAAATTACTAGACTTCGCTTCGGCATTGTTTCTTCGTTCATCTCTTAATCCACTGTCTTCGGCTTTGCCAAATTGTACTTTCCATTTTTTGCTTTATTTATTCTCACCCATCTCACTAAATGTCGTATGCTATGCTACACAATTCGAACTCATATTAATACACATTTGCTGCATTGTATGCCTCGCACTCAATCAAAGCACTTCAATTCAAATTGAGTTCGAGATATATTGTGAAGCAAGCTATGCAGATTTCTAGTACATACACACATACATCCAATACACATGTACATATGTATAACTCGTGTGGTTTTTGGCTGAATATATGGAGTATGTTTAATATACAAATCGGTTGATAGTCAGGATATGTTCTCTCTACTGTCTTACAAGTAAAATATTATTATTAGCATGTGCAAACTAAAATATATTCAAAAACTATAATACACTACAATAAATATAGATCCCCCTTTTTGACTATAAATAATTAATTTGAATTAATATACAAATTATTCAAAATGTCTATGCTTAGGTTATGCGAATTACTAGAGGACTAAATGTAAACAATTTTTATCTAATATTTTAGATAAAACTAAATAGATAAATTATAAGCATAATTTATATGTAGACACAGACACAATTTATATTAAAACTCAAAATAAAAAGTTCACCTGGGATTGTGGCATAAACCATAATACTTTCGCCCCTACCCCAATTGATAATAGTTATAGGGTATTCAAAATAGAAGGCATGTGTGCATTTGAATGGTGGCACATCTTGAATTCACCGAGAAAACGTCAGCGACTCTTCATGGCTTCAATAATATAGAGAGGACGTTGCTGCGGCTTAGCATTTTGTCATGTATTTGATATATGCGACACGCTCTGCTGGGCGTGGCTCTAAAGGCAGTTGGCGTCGCCCCGTTGCAGTTCCACACCACTCGAAATCCATCTAAATGGCTGTGCGAAAAGTGAGCCTTGGCAAAATGCTTTCGCCCAAGCCCGCCCGCTAAGCCCATTTGGGAGGCTATGGAACTGTGAGCTGATGGACTCAACGAGCACAGCTTTGTGAGCTGCGACGTGCAATAATTTCCGCTGGGCTTGCGGGTAAATCTCGGCGGCGCAGTAGTGGCCCTTGCCTTTTGTTGGCCGCGCAGATGTAATTGAATTTCACGGATGCCAAAGCAATTCGACACTAAGACTCGCAGTTGGGAACGGCTAGAACTAAACACTGATTGCTGGAATTAATGTGCTGTGAAACTCATTCGCAGATCAAGGACATCGCCTCGGCCAAATACAATTACACCTTCAGTGAGAACGAGCCGATTTCGGCATTTGTGACCTCGTTCTTTGACGGCGTCCTGCTCTATGCCAATGCACTCAACGAGAGCATCCGCGAGGATCCGAGCATGCTGACCAGACCCATCAACGGCACCGACATGGTGCGACGCATGTGGAATCGCAGCTTTACGGGCATCACTGGCAACGTGACCATCGACTCGAATGGGGACCGCATCTCGGCGTACTCTCTGCTGGACATGAATCCCACCACCGGCAGATTCGAGATTGTGGCACACTTTCTGCACAATCGTCTGGAGTTTGAGTCGGAAAAGGAAATCCATTGGGCCGGTGGTCGGGATCAAGCGCCACCCGATCGTCCGATCTGCGGTTACGATGGTTCGCTATGCCCAGACAACTGTAAGTAAATCACCAAAATATATATCCAATAGATCAAATTTATCGGATATTGATGTTGCCATCATCTTTGCAGCTTTACCTGGGTACGCCATTCTGTCTATAGTCCTTGGCATAATGGTAATCATAATGGCCGTCTGCTTCTTCGTCGGCTATCGGCACTATAAGGCCGAGGCTGAGATTAATTCGATGAGCTGGAAGGTCTCGCTGGATGATGTCATGTTCCGAGATACCGCAGATCATCTGATGCGTGGCTCTTTTCACTCGCTGGTCAAGCAGAGCTCGCAGCTCACACTTATGTCCGAGGACATGGGCTCCATAAATGGCGATCGCCAGATCTTCATTCCCGTGGGCATGTACCGGAAGAGCAAGGTGGCCATCAAGCCAATCGAGCTGGATAATGTTCAGGGCATTCTGTCGCGCAGCCTGATGCTGGAGCTGAAGCGCATGAAAGACCTGCAGCACGATCACTTGGTCAAGTTCTATGGCGCCTGCCTGGATCAGCGGCGCAGCTTCCTGCTCACCGAGTACTGCCCGAAGGGCTCCCTGCAAGACATACTGGAGAACGAGCAGTTTCAGCTGGACTGGATGTTTAAGCTGTCCCTGATGCACGACATTGTGCGTGGCATGCAGTTCATACACAGCTCCGATATTCGCTCCCACGGCAATCTCAAGTCCTCCAACTGCGTGGTCGACTCCCGGTTCGTCCTCAAGATCACCGACTTTGGACTGCACAGCCTGCGCCGCACATCCTACGACATTGAGAGCGACATTGAGAACTGCAATAGTCATGCCTACTGGAAGAGTAAGTGAGCTGTTGCCCAGGTGGAGTATATACGATTCATCATCCTCTACCCTCTCTACCTGCTCTAACAGAACGCCTTTGGACTGCGCCTGAACTGTTGCGCCTCGAAAATCAACGCCCGCCCGAAGGCACTCAGAAGGGCGATGTTTATTCGTTTGGCATCATTGTGCATGAGATAACCACGCGCCAAGGTCCTTTCTATTTGGGCAAGTGTTCGCACGAGAAGACGCCACAAGGTAAGCAAGAAGATGAAAATACCCCATTAAGAGATGGGCCTAATATTGATTAAATTAAAATATAAGTTATCAAGTTAGATCAACCTAACGAGACAGACAGAGCTAGATCGAATCAGTTTGTTGCCGTCGTTAAAACATTTACATTATGTAAGGGGCTAATTATGTTAAAATGGCTACTGTACTACTTATCCAGAACCGTATGCAATTTTTATATAAATTTATATATATTTATGTTCTAATTTAGTGGAAAATTGTAGAATGTCTAATCAAAACAATTCATACACAAGTGCTTTTACAATAGGGTAAATCACAGCTTTCCGTATCGGATGCACAAATACATCTAAGCCGGAACCATCTCCAGCAGCTTCTTTTTTTTGGAGTCGCTTTTGTCGATTTTTTAGCTGGATTAGTTAGATCATCTGTTGGGGGCTTGCATCTTTTGGGGAGTGGTCTGGAGCAATTCTGTATCAGCTGGAACCGTTGCAGCTGCTGTTGGCGCTTCTCCAATTCCCATAGCCAATCGATTCTTGACTTACCCCAACCGTATCTGCATTCCCGATTGCAAAATAAGTATTCGCAATTACAATCTCCAAAAATAATCTCAGCATCTGTGGGCGCTGAAAGACACGTTGATTGATCACAGTAAACACTGAATGGCCTGGATTTCGCATACCTCTTGACCGATTATAGACTGTGTTTTTTCTACTATCATAACTTGTTGCTTTTGTATGAAACATCAACTTGAATATCTTTGCTTCCGCCTCCACATCACGCTCATAGAACTGCACAGTTAAACCGTTTTGGGAATTCGGATGCCAGGTGGCATGGCGTTTCTTATCCGAAAAATTCCTCAGTTGTATGGCCGTATCCCTAGTCATTATATAGGATTAAACAAATTCCAAATATATCGTCTTCGAGTACATGTATGTTAAAAAGTCTATTGGTGTGATAGAATGCGACTTTATTGGCAGGCATTATATATAGTGTAGCCCATCGAACTCGATAAACAATGAAAAAAAAATATTTGACAACTTTAATTTTTCACTAAAATAGGAATGAAATATAAATCTGAGTCTAAGTTCGTCCATTTATCCATTTTCAGAGATTATTGAGCTGGTTAAGAACTACCAACCGCAGCAGAACAAACCGTTTCGCCCCGAACTGGAGTCCTGCACCGATGATACCAAGTCAGACGTTGTTGGCATCATCAGACGCTGCTGGGCAGAGGATCCTCTGGAACGACCCGACTTCAATACGCTCAAGTCGATGATCAGAAAGTTCAACAAGTAAGATCATCATCTATCATCAATTTAAAGTTAAGCTCTAGAGAACTAAGAAAGATTACTAGCCTAGCAATATGTGGTAAAGTAATCATTATCATATTTTTTTTGAAGAATGTTCAATATTTATAAGACATGGAATGGAATTCAAAATGAGTTTTAGTTTGCAAGAGTTCTCGCACTATTGATATTGGGAGCTGATCCTAAATATGAATTAATCATATCATCGACAGACTTGACAAACAAAACTTTATCTTTAATAGATCTTAGTTACAGTGGTAGTGTTTTTCGGATTTCCCATTTTATTATTCATAAATTTCTGTACCGTTAGCTTCTGCTGCAATCGAAAACAGTTTTAAAATTTGTCTGTTCTAAACAAAAATCAAAAACGATCATTTATAGAAAGCATTCTAACCGATCCGACTGCTTTCAGGGACAACGAAACTGGAAATATTGTTGATAATCTGCTAAAGCGCATGGAAATGTATGCGAATAATCTGGAGGAGCTAGTTGAGGAGCGCACCCAGGACTACCTGGAGGAGAAGAAAAAGTGTGAGAAGCTGCTCTATCAGCTGCTGCCGCAGAGCGTTGCAGCTCAATTGATCAGCGGACAGCCTGTGGTTGCCGAGACCTTTGACCAGGTGACCATCTATTTCAGTGACATTGTGGGCTTCACGGCCATTTCAGCGGAGAGCACGCCCATGCAGGTCGTGCAGTTCCTGAACGATCTTTACACCTGCTTCGACTCGATTGTGGAGAACTTTGACGTCTACAAGGTGGAGACCATAGGCGATGCTTACATGGTGGTATCTGGTCTGCCCATACGCAATGGCAACTACCACGCCCGCGAAATTGCCCGCCTGGCTTTGGCCCTGCTCGAGGCGGTGCACAACTTCCGGATACACCACCGACCCGACGATCGCTTGAAGCTGCGCATTGGACTGCATACGGGGCCATGTGTCGCCGGCGTTGTGGGCCAGAAGATGCCACGCTATTGTCTCTTCGGAGACACCGTGAACACAGCCTCGCGTATGGAGTCCAATGGCGAGGCACTGAAAATCCACATCAGTGAAACGACCAAACTCGCACTAGATGAGTTCGGCAGCTTCTTGACGACGCGCCGTGGCCTGGTGCCGATGAAGGGCAAGGGCGAAATGTTGACGTACTGGCTGGAGGGCGAAGTGCCCAAGCCAGATGAGGTAATGTCACCCGGCAAGCTGCTGCTGACGAGACGTTCGTCCCTTAAGCAGCCCCAGCGGCAGCCGCATTCCTTCTACAAACAATACTCAGAGCTGGGCGTTATGGCCACGTTGGCACCGGCAGTGCCGTCCATAGCCTTGCCTGCAGCCGAAAAAAATATCTCACCCAATCTTCGGGTCAAGCGCAAGATCAGCTCCAGCTCACCGAAGCTAAACGGAAGCTGCTTCGAGCAGCATTCCGATAATCAAAAGACTGAGCCTAACAACTGTTATTTGGATGCTGGACACCAGACGCTGTGTGATATATATAGCAGTCGCTCGCTGCGCAGCGAGGAGGCTGGTGCGGGGGCAGGAGCGGGCGTTGATGCAAATGCCAGCGATAGCTGGGAGCTGGCCAATTTCCGACTGCCACTCAGCGGCACGCTCAAGCAGCATCACAGCCAGCAACAACAACAACAACAGGGCAACCACCATGCAACACACTCCAATTCTAATTCCAATTTGAGCGGCATTCTGCAGCCAGCGCCGCAGGCAAGAGGACGCCTGAGGCCATCCCCCACGATCTCAACGTTGGTGAAGAACCATCGCAGCGACAGCTCCGCCGCCGACGCTGGCAGCACGAGCAGCGGCCAACGGATCAAGTTTGCCAACTGTGATGAGACGCCACTGCTCAGCGGCAAGACGCCAACAGCGCTGCCAGCGTCCGCAGCTCTCAATCTGGAGCGCAGCGGCAGCAGCTGCAGCAATCAGAACATTCCAAATCTGAGCAGCGACCATTCATATGGGTATCTAGTCAAGAACTATAAACAGCTTCTGTGCAAGCCCACAGCCCAAGTCTCGAATAACCACGGACATGGCCATGGACATGGACATGGACATGATTTGTCCTTTGCCGAAGAGTGCCCGCGGGCTCCATTGACTGCCCGTGGCACCGCGAGTAGCGCCGTGACCCAACCACTCTTGGCCAAAATTAACTCGTAGCCCTAAGCACTGAGAGACACTGAGGGATGAACCTTAATAACCTTCTCTAAATAGTACCTAATCGTAATGATGATGCATATTAAATGTACTTGTTTGTGATAATAAGTTAAAACCAATTTGAACAATTTAGTTAATAACGCAGGCCCACTATTTAAGCACACAATATACATATATCTCTGTTAGAAATAATTTAATGGAACACTCAATACTTTATACACACTATATATAAAGTAAACAAGTTAAAAGTTATTTTGAAAATAAATTTATGAGATCAAGTCAAGTAGATTTTAGTGTTACTGCGATATAGCTAGACACAAATTGTTGTAATATATTAATTTAAATTTTAATATATTTTTAATATAAATTTAAGTAGCGAATTCTTTAAACACATTCAATGAAAAACACACTTTTCATTTCTAAACAATTTGTTCTAAATTAGTTACTACCTTCGTTCTGATTAGAAAAACTATTAAAAAGCTCAGAAACTACTTTCGAAGATTATTATTAATTAGAAAATGACAGCTTGATTATTAGTAATGTAACTGATTATTAATTTTATTGTAAAGTATTAAAAAAATTGTTTCTTTGAAAAAAAAAAATAAATAAATATTTATTTACGAAAAATTCACTTGCCCACAATTTGTTATACTTGTTTTTGGTTTCATGAATTTTTTATATTCTGGAAGAATTTAGCCTAATTTTTGTGTCAAACATTGATACACAAACATTAAATATATTTTAAATTGATGAAGTGGTACATAAATTCGACCGCCAATACTTAAGCAGCGTACTCGCCTCAATGTTATTTATCACAGAAAAATTTTGAGCAGTTGAAGCTAACAGTGCCAATTTGAGTAACAGTCCATTTCGAGTTTCAAGTGCCGTTGTGAGCAAAACATGTTAATACAAACAAGTGCAGCTGCTCACTGTTAATTAAAGAATTGCTTAAATCAAAGTACTATATTTATATTACAATCATAGTCTAGGCAGCAGCACAAGCAAAGGTAATGATAATGATTTTGTCAACAATTTGAAATCAGAGCTTCCCCAAGTAATATAAAAAGAAAAAAAAATTAAAATTGCATAATTAACAATGCAAATGATCAATGAATGAATTGCAACTTTTTTCAAACTTTGTGTCAACACAATTTAAGCTGTGGGCAGAAAGTAGTTCCAATTTTTTATTAATTTGACTATTTTATTATTGCTGATAATTTCGGTGATTTTTTGTACAGTGCCATGTTGTGAAATAACAAAAGCCGGAAGACATACGCCCATTTAAATAAATCGTTTCAATTAATTTTAATAATATAAAACGCGATGTGTAGTATGTAGTATGTTTCATATAATTTTTATCAAAACTTATAGCATATAGTAACAAGCACTCTTGGTTTTCTTTGCCACAAAAATTGCTCCCAGTTTGATTTGTCATAGTCTGCACCCGGGCCGGTTATCGTCGTTGTAATTATCACTATTTGCGCACGTCTTTTGTTTCATTATATCACGATAAGTTCAACGTTGACCTATGTGTATCTATCTAATCAATAAACAAAAATAAGTACATTTGACCAACTGTAGGGCGACACACAAGATGTTGTATTGTCCGCCGAACATCACGTTCAACGAGATTTGGACCAAACATGGCATTTCGCACTGTTTTATGGACACCGTGGGACCGGCGATCTGTGGTGGCTTTCTTCTTCTCTTCGGCGGTATCCAGATACTGATGTACCGCAAATATGCGACACCAACAGATCCCACACACATCACAAAGTCCAGGCTATATTTCCTCCAACTGTTTCTCCTCCTCCTTGTACCGGTGCTGGCTCTATTGAGATTCTTCCTCAACGCTCGTATCTATCCAGACAGTGCAGTTTATGGCTATATGGTTCGTATAGATTGACTCCATTATTTGATATATTATATATATATATATATTTTATCATCCATTTCATTGCCAGATATTTTACACATGCGTGGTTTGCTTCTCATATCCATTTTGCATCTGGCTAATAGTCAAGGAGCGTTATTATCAGCTGCCATCGCTACCGACACGTGGTCATGGACTCATATTATTGCTCTTTTGGACGATGGCATTGATTAATGAGGCGCTGGCCATAGTCAATTTGGACCATGAGGACTGGTGGTTCCACCTAAAAAAGTTAGTAGTTGACGATTATCATTATATATTGATTTTGTCTATATTTTTGTTTTGTAGTAACAAAGATGAAATCGAGATGGGCATGTTTGTTACCCGCTTCTGTTGCTCTCTGCTCATCTTCGTGCTCGGCTTGAAGGCACCCGGCATTATGGCACCCTATAATCCGCACCAACGTCTGGATGACTCATCGACCGACTCAAATGGCAATGTGCCAACTGGCTCTGCTTTCCGCAATGGCTGGCGCAAGCTACGCACCCTGTTCCCATATCTGTGGCCCAAAAAAGATAGGATGCTGCAATGCGCTGTGCTCGTTTGCATAACGTTGCTTGTTGCTGGTCGTGTTATCAAACTGTTTCTCCCCATTTATCGCAAGCTGTTGGGTAGGTCATGTTCTCAACTAACGAAAATGGTGACAATAATCGGCAATCTATTCTCTCTTTTTTCAGTTGACAGCCTGACCATCGAGCCTATTGAGTTTCGCTGGGACTTTGTGCTTATTTATGTTACACTATCGTTTCTGCAGGGCGGCGGTACTGGCGGCATGGGTTTGTTCAACAATCTGCGAACTTTCCTGTGGATTCGCGTGCAGCAGTACACGACGCGGGAGATTGAGATTGATTTGTTCAGGCATTTGCATCAACTATCATTGAGATGGCATTTGCAGCGCAAGACGGGCGAGGTGCTGCGCATCATGGATCGCGGCACAGACTCAATTAACAATCTACTCAACTATATTGTATTCTCCATCACACCTACCATACTTGATCTGATAGTTGCTGTCGTGTATTTCATCTATGCCTTCAACTGGTGGTTTGGCTTGATTGTTTTTCTTACCATGTTCTTGTATATAGGTAAGTTTGAATGAACTTGAAATGTTTGCCAGTCATTCAATTATATTTTGTATAGCTTCTACAATTGCCATCACGGAATGGCGGACCAAGTACCAAAGGCGAATGAATCTGGCAGACAATGAGCAGCGCGCTCGAAGTGTAGACTCTCTGTTGAACTTTGAGACTGTGAAATACTATGGAGCTGAAAGCTACGAGGTGGATTGCTACAGAGAGGCCATATTGAAGTATCAAAAAGAGGAGTTCCTCTCCATGCTCACACTCAACCTGCTCAACACCGCTCAAAATATTATACTCTGTTTGGGTTTGCTCTCTGGCTCCCTGCTATGTGTGTATTTGGTGGTGCATCATCAGACCCTGACAGTGGGTGACTTTGTGCTCTTTTCCACGTATCTCATGGACTTGTACATGCCGTTGAACTGGTTCGGCACATATTATCGTGCCATACAAAAAAATTTCGTGGACATGGAAAACATGTTTGAACTGCTGCGTGAGGATGAGGAAATCGTGGATGCGCCTGGCTGCGCACCACTGCTAACTGCTGGCGGCGCAATCGAGTTCTCAAATGTTACATTTGGCTACACGCCGGATAAGCTGGTGCTTCGCAATGTCAGCTTCACTGTACCGGCAGGCAAGACAATTGCCATTGTAGGTCCTTCCGGCGCCGGCAAGAGCACCATCATGCGATTGCTATTCCGTTTCTATGATGTGCAATCGGGATCTATCTCAATAGACGGGCAGAACATCAAGCTGGTTCAACAGCAAAGTCTACGAAAAGCAATTGGTGAGTACAACTAAAAAAATCATTTGAAGGAACATTAAATAACAAAAGTTTTTGCCTCTTAGGTGTTGTTCCCCAGGATACGGTATTATTCAACAACACTATTTACTACAACATTGAATATGCCAAGATAGGCGCCAGTGCTGATGCAGTCTACGAGGCTGCGCGCTCCGCGGACATACACGAGAGAATATTGAGCTTCCCAGATAGATACGAAACCAAAGTGGGTGAGAGAGGACTGCGTCTCAGTGGCGGAGAAAAGCAACGTGTGGCCATTGCCCGAACGCTTCTGAAGGCTCCGATTATAGTGCTGCTGGATGAGGCTACTTCTGCGTTGGATACGCACACAGAGCGAAACATACAGGCGGCATTGGCACGCGTTTGTGCCAATCGTACAACAATTATTGTGGCACATCGCTTGTCCACCATCATCCACGCAGATGAAATATTGGTGCTAAAGGAGGGCACCATTGTTGAGCGTGGCAGACACGAGGAGCTGTTGCAAAGAGATGGAGGCATTTATGCAGACATGTGGCAACAGCAGCTGAAAAACTTGGATGCCGAACAGAATGCGAACGACAGCTCAGAGTCTATTACAGCAGAGGGAACCTCAGCGGCGGCTAGTGGAACGACTGGACGGCCACAAGCGCCGTCAACTTTGGGCAGTGGTGCTGTCTTTAGATCGGGACATGGACATGGAGGAGGGCACTAAGCGTTGGACATTAAAATATAGATATTAGGCGTAACTTTGATTATTTTTGTTAAATGTGATTTGTGGTATTTGTTGTATATGAACTGCATGTCTGATTCCTCGTTCTTGTGTACTTTACTGTAAAAATAGAAATATAATAATAATTTTTATAAACCTAAATAGATTTTTATCAATCGTTACCCCTTCATTCATTAATGCAATGAAAGAGCGTCCGCAAGAGCGTCGCTCTTAATATTGCTCAGAAACTGATGCCGCTGCTTATCAGTAAGAACCTCCAGCAAGGCCAGAGAATCGGCTTGAGAACGACACCAGCTTCAGTTCGAGTGAGGATCGCGAGCGAAGCAGACGTAGAATTTCAAAGTCGTTCTGCAATACGTTGGCGATAAAGAAAATCGGCGGTTTCTTTGAAAAGATTCCTAAATTACACACATATATATATTGTTAATGCGATATCGGAGTGAGGCGTGTACATTGTGTTATTAAATCTGAAGATTCACGAGTTTTTATACAGCGAATCATGCGGCGACTGAAGTGTTCCGTGTTTGTGTGTACGTAGAAAGTAGAAAATAACCTAATTGATAAACCCAGGGACCATATTTATTCAGGAGCATGACGCAATGTTTCATTGAATAACATTTAAAATCAAAATAACAAAAAAATATAAAAAGAAAAAAACCACCAGCATATATGTATACACATATATTTAATAATAATATTGATTAAACAGTTTTTTGCTCTGTGATGACCACATAAATAATCTACATGCATACATATTTATGTCCATATACCAGTGTATATATAAATATATATGTATGTACATAGATGCCTACATATATATTCATATATAAGTATATAGACAAAATTCAATTGATAAAGTGTATTATTGGATGCTGTTGCCCCCGGCTTGGGCTGTCACCAAGTTTATTGCCACACACAACAATTTCTTGCTGAATGCAAATGCTGAACACCATTTTCAATTTTCAGTTCTATTTTTGGTGATCGATGTCGGTCGTGCATTCAACATAATTGGCGTCAATAAGCAAATGCTCTACGAATATGTGGGCAATGTGCTAGTTGGCTCCAAGCCCCAGGACGAAGGGCATCCGGCACCGCCAACCACTGGCTGGATAGTCCGTGGAAAGCTCACGCTACAGCGACAGAGTGAACTTGTGATGGCCGCTGCGGTAAGTCAAAAGTCAATACTACAGCTACATACATATATGTATAGATGCAGAAATAGGTATATGAATCCCGAAACTAGATCCTTTGCGAATTAATGTGTATGAATACTGAAGGGAATAAAATATGCAACTAATTGAATTAGAGATATCTTTATACGTAAATATACATACATAATAATAAATATATACGAATGTAAACATAACTATGTTCAGAAATCATAGGGAATAAATATTTCTTAGCTATAAATACTATAAATTTTAAAGAATGTGTTTTTCAAATTATAATAATGCTTACAGCCTTACGGGCAGACTTAAGAAAAACAAAACTGAATTATATATACATATACATACACATATATTAATATATGGTATATATAAATTTATATATTGTATGTAATTCAGTCATAGCATATATAGAATATATTTTCATTTATAGCCAATTGAAAAACCTAAATAAAAATTTTGATTGATTTCACGATCAATTTGTACAATTCAATTAAGCTCGAACAGTGCAAATTCTCGGGGCCCCTAGTTGATGCCCAGAATTGCTGGACCAGCTGGCTCAATTCAAGTTTTTGCAGACACTTTCGCGAAAGAATTTGCAGATGAATTATAAATAATTTAACCTTTCCGCAGTCCCAGTGCACAATGAACTGAACTCGGCTGTGAACTTCTTTCATTGAGACAGATAAAATGATGCTACCAGTATACCCACCCATGCACCCATACACACGCACATTTGTATTGTATCACACACATATTAATACACAGGCATACATGCATATACATATACGCGGAGTAATCAGTTTAGATTGTTTTGACTGTGGAAGTGGGGGAAGGGCTCATAAAGCGGCGCTATGCTTATCAACAGACACATACAGAGACCCGGACACAACACACAGACACAAATGCAGACGCAGACACAGACATGTGTCTGCCATATGTAACATGGCTCAGTCTGCCCACTGAGTCTGACTAATCTTCATACCCTTTCAGACGATATTATAATTTTCACACGAAATGTGCAACCCCATGAAAAAAATATATAGATATGTATGTACATATATGTATATGTATATGCATATACAATTAATCTGTATCAAAAGCTGTGTAGATATAACTATGTATATCCGTTCATTTATCACTTTTGTGCAAACTAGTTCCTCATCTTTATCTCTTATATATGTATATAGCTGTTGTCGAGCAACATTATAATAAATATGCCTAAGAAACGATCAATCTTATATGTATGTTATAATATGAAGTCATATTATGCGATATATACAAAAAAATTGATTTATAAAAAATATAGAACTACAATAAATTCAATACTAAATATAAAATAAAATCTGGAATACTATTTAATAATAACAAATTCAATAATAAATATAAAAAATGTAAAATACTATTCAATAATTATAAAATGTTTATATTAAACATAAGGATTTTTTATCATTTTTGTATTGTATAACAATTCAAATTAATCTGAAATAATTATTAGGTCAGAAATATAGAAATATTTATATATAATATACATAAATGCATTTTCTAAGGGTATTAGGCCGTCACTGATTAAAAAATAATAATACAAATAATATTTTTGTTTATGTCAAGATAAACGTGGTGAATAAGCCAACACAGCTGATTTGTGCCAGCAAAAGCGAGTGTAGACCGTAGATTTCTCGACTCGGGATTTCCCGACCTATACATAAGTATTTCAATTAATCCTCTTTCTGTCTCTCTTCCATTTGCGCAATTTCAATTTAGCTGGTCATAGACGATGTAACGCTCAACAATTCTGGAGAAAAGTTCTTGCAGAACAAGGAAATGTATCCGCCCTACAAGCCCTTCAAGATCATTCTCACCAAGGAGGGGACCATCTCGCATGTGGTCTTCAAGGAGGGCGATCCCATTTGGTCGATGAACTTCAAGCGTGCCATTGCCAGCACTCTGCAATTTCAAATCAAGTCTAATGGCGCCTTTGTGGTGGATGAGGTTAGAGATCTTCGCCTATGCAGTATACAAATGACCTGATTACTAACTGCATTCATATTCCAGACGGGCATCCATGGCCAGTGCCAGACGGAGTATTTCGTGTCGAACAAGACCAACTACATATCCATACGGAAGACGCCCGAGCTGAAGACCTGTCTGCCCTACTCGGAGGCCGTGCACATTACGCGTAGCAATGTGCCCCCGAACACGTGCGAGTTCGACCACCAAAAGAGCGTCATCATTGGCAACGAGGCCATATACGGCATATTGCCCCACAATGAGACAGGGTACTTCCTCAGCATGGCCCATGCCAAGGGCACCACGCTCATTCACACTTTCGAGTCCACGGGCGAGGCACAGTACATCAACTCGGAGTAAGTTAAAAAGTGATCCATCATTCGTAAATGTCTAAGTCAAAATTGATTTATAGGCTGCTGCTAAACTTCCAAAATGAGACACCGATCGACAATCCAATTGATATTGAGACCTCCATGTCGACCGAGACCTCGAATTTGCAACTGCAGCCGCTGGAAATCAACGATCCGACTGGCGGACGCAACCCTCAGCAGCAGGAGACTCTGATATCTGCAGCGGCTGGGCTTCTGGACAACTTGGCCGAGGCGTTGGAGAGCACGGAGTTTAAGTTTAACGAGCCCTACGACTCGACACTGTCCGATGTCATAAAGCTACTGAGTGAAATGGACTTTGAGTCGCTAAAGAAACTCTACACCGAAGTGGACATCGGCACATCGTATCGACAGGAGACGATACGAAACATCTTCCACGAGATCATACCACGCATCGGCACAAAAGCCTCGGTCTTCTTGACGCGCCACTTGGTCAAAGAGAAGACGATCAAGTCGAACATTGCGGTGCAGCTGCTCATCCCCATGCCCTTTCACATATTCGAGCTGTCGGCGGAGTTGGTGAAGCAGTGCGAGGAGTTCCTGAGCATAGGACCCGATCGACCGGATGTCCGGCAGGCGGCTATCTTGAGCTTTGCCACACTCGTCTACAATGTGTACGTGGCACGCGGCATTGACAAGGATCAGTTTGAGGAATACGTCCAAAAGTATTTCAATTTGTACTTGAGTAAGTTGCACGAATTGCACTCAGGCGATGAATAATTAAAACCTATTTGCCTTCCCAGACGAGCGAGACTATGAGCAAAAGATGCTGTTTCTGCAGGGCCTCAGCAACTTACAGCTGGGCAATGTGGCCAACTATCTGGAGCCCATTGTGATGGAGGAGGGAAACGAGGACCTGAGGTTCATGGCTGCGTGGACAACACTCGCACTGGCCGACAAGCGCGCTGAGCGCATCTACGAGATCTACTGGCCCATCTTTGAGTCCCGCAACGCCAGCCTGGAGCTGCGTGTGGCCGCTGTTACCCTGCTGCTCATATCGAATCCCACGGCGGCGCGACTGATCAGCATTCATCGCATTATACAAAGCGAAACCGATCCACATCTAATCAACTACTATCGCACCACAGTCACCAGCATATCGGAGACGACATATCCATGCTATCAGCATCTGTAAGTGGGCTGAAAAGAAGAGAGTTCCTCTGATTCTAACTTTCGCCTTCCCTAGCCGTCGTCTGCTCTCCTATATGCATCGGCATCTGCCCCAGAAACCCGAGCCGCGCTACTGGGTGACGGGCAACTACATATTTGATTACAGGGACTCGAAATTCGGCATTGGTGCAATGCTGCAAACGTTTCTAGTAGGCGATCCAAAGTCGGATATGCCCGTTGTGGCATTTTTCAAGTTTGACACGGAAGCGCTAGGCAAATTTACGGGACAGCTTGCGGTAAGTCCTTTCAATTGATGAAAGTTTTCCGGTATCGAATCCGAACTTTCTATTTTTCAGCTGTATATAAAAGCGCGTGGATTACCCGATGCTATCTGGCAGACCGTTCAGTCCAAAGCCAACGGCTCGGATCCCTTCACTTTCAAAAGCATCAAGACCTTGTTGGCCATGCTGAAGGCGCCCATTGTCAACTCGAAGAACTTGCACATCGAGCTCATATTGCAAATGGAGGGCAAGACTGTGCTCTCCTACTACTTGAATCAGCGCATGTTCCAGCAACTGACCTATGACAACAGTGAGTATGGGTGGCTCAGTCGGCTGACTGAGCTCTATGTATGTATGATTCTAGAAATTGTAATGTAAAGGGAACGCTTTGTGATTTATATGTATTTACTTCATACATATTGCAGATAGATAGATAATATTGATATAATATACGATACACATACATTTCTGTTCCATTCCTTATATTTCATCCTTTCCCTTTCTAACTCTCAAGATTCAATTTTTCCGTTTCTCAGTTTTGGATCGCCTGCAACTGCTTATCCGCACCGATAGCCACATAAACATGCAGACGGTGCGCTGGCCATTTATGAACAAGTACTCGGTGCCCACTGTGCTGGGCACATCGTCTGATGTGCTGCTGCAGACCACGGTGCTCACCTCGCTGCGTGGCAATATTACGGAGCATCGGAAGCCGCCGGGAACCAAGCATACGTTGGAGATCGATGCGCGTTACTCATCTTACGCGACTGTGCGCAGCCGCAGCTACAATCCATTTCTTAACTTGGACCACGAAATAAAACGGGAGCAGGGCTTCCTCATCTACATACCGTTCAGCAGCGAGCTGACCTTGAATGACAGTGCACAGTGTGCCCGGTATACCTTTTCGCGGCCACAGAACCTGACCAGTGGTCTGTCCTTTAAGTCGCGAGCCGTGACCTCAACGCGTGGCCAGGTGACCAAGACAGCCTCCGCACCCTTCGAGGAGATCATGTACCCAGAACGAGGCAACGAAGTGGTAAGCGATGCGACAATGCCATCGATAGTCCTGAAGTTCTTTCGACTAATGCCCACCCCTGCAGTTCCAGCCTTTCAGCTATGCCATGCCAGACCTGGGTGTCAAATTGAAGGTCAACATAAATCTGAATGAGATGATTAAGTTTCGGGGCATGCTACTAAAGTCTGAGTTCATAGAGAAGTAAACTAAAGTAAACACGGAATGGAATTGATAAGTAAATCCCTCTATATTACAGTGGCTTCTCACGCAACATGGTCGTCAGCCTGATGATGTACGTCTTTGGATTTACTCAGCTCAGCTCCATCCACTTGGGTCACGATCGGAACTTTACCCTCTTAATGTACAACGAAAACGCCACCAAGGTAAGTCACTGAAGTCCCAAGAGGCCAGCTGGACTGATATAGATATATATTACAGATCGATGGTAATATCTGCGTCGAGGACGTGCTGAAGACATCCGAGCTGAAGGGCAAGCAGATCGGATTCACACTGGAGCACTCGGACGAGACGCAAAATGTGCAGTCCCTGCACAAGTGGAACGTCATAGTGGACATTCAGACCTCAACCAAGTCGAACTGGTTCAAGGTCAGCGGCAAGGTGCAACGGAACTCGAAGGATGATGAGGAGGATTGGAAGGTGAGTTAATGATGGAAGAACAATACTACTTTCGAAGGGGCTGAAATTTATTAAACCGAATATATGTGTACCTAATGTGAAACAATGTGATAACCGACAACTTAATTTGCTTAGAGTAAACTCGCACGTTCAGCCCCACTTTGTCCATGATTATGTTTGTCTTTAAGAAGTTACAATGGTGGTGGTGATGTGCTATTATTGTTGCTGGACGAGACTAGCCCTCCTGTCCCGCTATCTCCAGCTCCTCCTCGGCATTAATGAGAGCCACAATGCCGTCCTGCAGAGACTTGACCAGCTCAAACTCGGTGAAGCCCATGCGACGCTTGTTCGATATGTCCATAACGCCATCCTCGATAGGGGTGTGCTCGCCACCGGTACCGTGTATCGACAGAGACAGCTCCTCAGACATTGCCTTCAATCGCTCCTCGTCCTTGCTCAGAAGGGGCAGGCGAATATGTACAGACGCCCGCAATGTGGTGCCCAAATTTGTGGGACAGGCGGTCAGATTACCGTAGCTTGGATGACGAATGAATGTCAGATTCTTCTCCAGTTCCTGTATACCAGTGACCAGACGCTGGTAAACGTCACCCAGGTCACCGCACTGCGCCGCCGATATGACACGCACATGATCCTCCTCGTTGGACCAAATCATGAAAGTCTCAGCGGGATTGTGGTAGACTCCACGTCCGGTTGGCCAGAAACGGTAGCAGCCAGCGGTTTGCAAATAGCCTTCGCCTCGCGCGAAGAGAACGTTACGCTTGACCATCTCCTGTTGAGTCTCGGTATCAATGTCACCCATCGTCAGATAGGTGCCAATCAGCTCGCCGTCCATGGTTTCGGTGGCCGCACGGATCTTATCCTCTACCTCAATCAGCTGCTTCTCAGTCAGCTTGGGGAAGAACGGCAATCCCTCGATGTTACGCGAAAGGCGTATGCGCGTAGAGAGTATATATTTGCGTTCCGCATCCAGATTCTCGATCTCGTCCACGTTGCCCCAGTCGACGTCCTTCTGTAGCACATCGCTATCGTTCTCCTCCTGACCGTGATACTCCCTGATGATCGGGTCGAATAGCTTAGTAAACACATCGTAGCACTCCGCATCGGCCGCATATATGCCCACAGGCGCATCATGATGTTCAAAGCCAGACACGGCACAATCATACAGATAGGCATCGACCGGAGACGGGGTGGTCACCAGCATGTATTCCTCCAGCAACTCGGGCGTGAGGTATTTGCGCAAGAGCGAACTGACATACTCCTCGTCGTCGATCAGGGACTTGTAGCCAGCCATAGTAAGCTCTTGGTATTCCTCCGGCGATTTTTTGATTTGTCCACGCAGACGCTCCAGCTCCTGCTCGAGGCGAGCTATCGTCGTCTTGGCCTCATCCAAATCATTTTTCATCAAATCATACTGAGCATCGTCCGGGCAACTTTCGCACATGAACTTGCGCACGAATCGAATGGCATCTTCGGGCTTATTCTGCTCCTCGTAGAGCTTTATTAGTGCCTTGCTCAACGCATCGATAACTCCGGCGCGCTCCAGGTACTTGCGGTATTGCACGCGTTTTGATTCAATCTATGAGAGGAGGGAATTCGAATAATCCAATTTACATTTTCACATTCGCATCGTCTATCCATCGTTCTCTCTTACCGAAGTCATTTTGCTCCCGACGAATCAAAATCAAATAACCAAAATTTAAACACAAAACAAAGCCAATGCTCAATACTAAAGCGACCAAATCAACACGCTTTACAAACTAGAGCCCTCGGATTTTTCCACACTTTATATTTAAAAAAAAAAAAAGTGAATTTTCTGCTGAATTTATGATGTGAGAAATGCGTCTGAAACGTTTAGTAGCTGACTGCTTTCTAAAGTTGAAACCGGCCTGAAACATATTGATCAAACTAGCGACGTTTCACTCCCAGCCTGCTAAGCAATCTGAATATGTGGGGCAGCAATTGTGGTTGCTGCAGTAGACTCGTGTGCCACCTGACAATGTCTCTTGCTGTTACATAATCAAGTGGCACGCAGACAACAGGCCGACATACAGCAACAGCAACAGCAGTAGCAGCAGACCCAGCCAACCGACCCGACGACAGACAGCCAGGATATGTGTATGTTAATCGTTGCCGCAGTTGTTGTGGCTGTCTCCTTGGCTGTCGCTTCGTCATGGTAATTTGACCCACCCTCGCAGAGCACATCCACCTGCATGCCTGACGGCTGTAGGAATATTAATATGACCACAGGTTAATTATTGAATTTGCATAGTGTGGCATCAACTGCGAGAGATCTAATGACATTTACGGAAATATTATTACAGACTTGAAATGGAGTTATTTTAAGTTTAAATCAAAATATTTGCATTCAATAAACTCCAAAATACAATCCGATATAAAATATATTTAATAATATGTATTTCATAATTATTAATTAATATACTTTAAAATACTATTAAATTCTTGTATACAATTTATTAGTTACATGTCTGCCCTTTGAAAAAAAGTATTCCCATTTACATTATTCCCATATACATTGCTGCTGCTTCTATCAATGCGGCCAGCAATGTATATGCTTCAAGTGCTCATACAGGGTGCATGTTGGCTAATGAGAGCACTTCTCGCATGTCAGTGGCTGACTTCTTGACTCATTCTGTGTTGTGTGCCGTCTCTTCCAGGCCTGCACCAAGTTGACCTATGAACCTCTCGTGTTCACCAAACGCCCACACACACTCAATGGATATGTGGTCTTTGGCCTGGCTGACGAGAATGGGGAATGCCCGGAGACAGGCTCAAAGGTGCAGTTTGCCGCACGCGCAGGTGTAAGTACATATATTTCTGCTATTATAATTAGCTTATATTCACGATATATTTGTATTACTGTAGCCCTCGGAGCATGCACGCGCATTCCTACGCTCCGACAAGATTTCGCTAACGGACACCGACTTCTGCCCCAAGGAGGTGCTCAAATTCTCGCCCATCCCCACATCGAAATATTGCAAGCGCAGCAATTTCGAAAATTTCACATCTATAACACAATATGACATGGACTTGAAGTTTAATAATGTAAATTGAAAAGCACGTGGGGAATTTCAAAGATCAACTATATACTTAGTTATTATCCTCTTTAGATGCCCGCCTGGTTCGAGCTGTGGTCCACGCGTCTAGACCATCTGGTTTCCGCATTGTCGGCCAACAAGGTGGACAGCTTGAATATGAGTAAACAGATTAACATAACGATGCACACGCCCCACGATCATTTCTGGTTGACAGTGGAGGTGAATGGCGTCCATTGGCGCATCTATCACATACCGTTCCTTTACAAGCTCGACTCCAAGTTTGATGCATCGCACCAGCTGACCTACGACTCGGGCCTGAAGCGCTCCTGCTCGGTGATCAATGGAATGATCAATTCCTTCGATGATTACCTCATTAATCTGGGCGAGATTGCAGCACACCCGAACTGTCTAACTCTGCTGGTGGCAGACTGTTCGCCTCTGCCGAAGATGGCTGTTTTCCTCACCCCGTCGCCCGACGCCAAGAGCCTGGCCAGCAACTATGGACTTCGTGTGCACATTGGCCCCAACTATTTCAATTTCCGCTCGCGTGCCGGCAACAGCAGCCATGTCGATGAAGCTCCGGTCTTTATTTACGTCAACCAGGCACAAACACCATATGACGTACGCCAGAAGCCGTATCAATGGCCAATCGATGACAGCGACTATGCATTCCGGTACACTCCACTCATGGCTAATAATAATTGTTGATCTATAAATAATACGATTTCATTGCTTCAGGGTGGAACTCAACGAGCAAAACATTTTGATTGTGGAGTGCACCAAGCTGAGCGCCACCATCCAGTTCGACATGTACAACATCTTGAACTTCGAGATCTACGGCGTCTACAAGCACCAGATGTGCGGCCTCTGCAGTAAGCCGCTAAACCGCATGCAGAACTACACGCTATGTGAGCTGGATACGAGAGGGACGCCGACACCGACACCGATGCCGACGCCGACGCAGATGCCTGTGCGGAACGTATCTAAAGTACTTCTTACATAAGGACAATCATAAAGTATAACTAAAGTAAGAGAACGCTGTAGAACTCAAACTCGAAAACTTAGCTAAAATTCATGTACAACACGGCGGTCTTTAAAAAATGAACAAATATAACTTAAGAATGCTATTAACAAAACATAAATAACGCAGTCATTCTCAAATTTACAAATATTAATTGTACCATAGAACTATAAATCTTTTACAAATTGTAGCATACTTATCGGGACTCCAAATTAAATTGATTAAAGAGAAATTTAGCATTCAAAATTTATTATTTAATAATTTGCATTTATTCAATAGTAAATTTGAAAATGAAGCATTTGAGCATTTTGATTGGATTAATTAATTTGTTATGATGAAAAGTGAAAGAAAAGTTTGCTCGCGAGAAGCTTTTGTTTTTGGTTTTCAATTAACTTGTTGCAATTAATTTCACAAATTGCAATACGCGTATTCCATTATAATAAAGAATTGAGAGTTCAAAATTAGAATTATATGATGAAAGTCTATTCTTTCGCGTCAAAGGTGAAAAAAAAAAAATAAAATAAAAAATACTTTCTTCAAGAAAGGCGTGTTAAGTAAAATGTAGAAATTAGTTCTGCTTCCAGCCCACTTGCTTCTCCCGATCGCGATGAAGTTGGGTCAGCAAATGCAAGCGCAACTCAACAACGGACTCGAGCACATCGTTGCACAATCTGCATTTTATGGGCTGCATAGTACCCTCGCTGCAAGAAAAATACTTTTTAATATAATATTCTCTCAAGCTAATAGTTACAAGACATTTACAAGTTGCGCCAGCTGTACAATTCCTTGCAGTTCGCCTGTAACGATAACAAATTGGCCATATTTTCGCTTTCCAAATCATATGAGCTGTGCAAGGGGAATATAGCACGCTTGCCGTATGGTTCGGAGGGCGGCTCCAAGTCAGACATGTCCTCCCAAAGGTATTCCGAGTTCGATAGGTGACGTTCAATGAAACTCCGATCCTTGCCGAGCAGACTGCAAAGAGGATATGATAAATTAAATATCAAAATTGTTGCATTGCTTCAATAGCACAAACCGAATAAGCAGAGATCGCAACTGATTGAATATTACTACGCGATCCTCCGTTCCCACAGAGGGCATTTCGTTGACATCGAAATTGTAAAACATACTGTCAATATTATAACGCATTTGGTTTATCTGAAATAGAAGAAAATTAAAAAAAAAATCCTTTCTTTTAGATATTGAGACAAAACTACTTACAATACGAATATCATCCTTAACTATAGTCACATCCAAATTGATGACCATGTCGTGCTCTTCAAAATGCGGCTGCATAGTGTCGGGATTATATCCGAGTCCTGCTAATATAGATATGTACCTTGTACGATCCTCGTTGCATTTGATTTGCATGGTCGGGCAGAAAAGCATGGCCATGAGAGCACCAAAGCCATGTATGTTGGGCATCAGAGTTGTTCCACGAGCCGTCAAATTGTCCGAAGATTCAGTCACGGAGGCAGCCACTACCATTTGGTCATGACGATCCTGTGGATCACTATCCAATAGGACTGAATTGACAGATTCCTTGTCAATTAACACCGACTTATACGTGCCAATGCGGAGCAAGGAATTCAAGCTGGTCTCGAGCGGGCTGTATGGGCCTTTGAGACGTATGCTAAGATTGCATTTATTAAGAGGCGGTGGCTCTAAGTCCGCATCCTTTGGCAATTGAGCAAAACGTAAATACTCTTCATTGATGAGTCTTTGGTCTGCAATCGAAACATTTCGTTTGGTCTCCTGCTTACGCAATCGCGTATCGTGATCCTTGCGTGACATATAGTCCTCGTCGGCACGTCGAGCCAATTGAAGCTCCACCAGCATTTCGTTCAGCACTCCATCGCGCGTGTGTATCAAAACAGCAGCTACATTGTTGACCAGCGAATAAATCTCTAGCTCGACCCGCCCGGACTTGGCAACCGAAATCAACATTTCGTTGGCGCGCTGGGGCCAGAGATTATAGGAGCTGGCCACTGACGACGGCTGCACCAATGCCAAGCGGCATTCAAACATACGCGGCGGCAAACGCTCAAAGTCACGTTTTAACTGAGGCGACATAAGACGCAGCCTATCTATGGGCACGACTGCCATATCACCATAATCAATAAAGCGCACACGGAACCTTGGATAACCATTTATCTGAGTCTCAACCTTTAGTACTACTGCGCGCTGGTAAAGGCTTCCCCGCTTTGCCAACAATTGCAGACCCTTCGTAACTGCCTTCGCGTTCTGTACGTAACAGCTGAGGTGCAAGGATCTATTGAATATCTCTGACATGCTCGCAATACGCTCGGCAAGCTCTTGTGGCTGAAAATAAAACTTGCCACAATTGACACTCTGCAGATAAAGACGATTCATATAATGAAGATCAATTTAGTTCAAAAAGAAAATATGTCACGTCCACACTTACATGGGTTATCAGTCCAAAGATGGTCTTGTCAAATACGGATGGCAAGGTGAGTAGCTCTACAGGCCATTGATTTGATGGCGGCACCCAGGTACAGTCGCTAATTACACCAATTCGATTCTGCTCGATATACTTAAATGCTGAGTTTTGACTGTAGAACACACAAGTCAGGAAAGTCAGCTTTTACTTTATTGTTAAGCACCTTTGCTTAATATACTTACTCCATAACGCGCAGTGGACGATTTGGATTGTCAAGACGCATTCGCACTGCTTTATATACCTCGGTCATGACACGACCCGGCACCTGCACGACCTTTGTGGTATCCGTATCCTCATCGTCTGGTTTGAACGTTACAAATAACTTTTCTGATCCGTGCTGAAAGGTGACGTCAATGTTTTCGGGTGGGATTTTCGCCTCTAGAAACAGTTCCTTGATGCGTCGTGTGTATAGCTCGCCCATGTAGCGCGGCTCAAAATTGGTGAAGTAAACGGTGCGACATGGATCATTACCGCATATAGTTTGGTATAAGCTTCGATCGTAATCGGCATTCGCTTTGTTGCTACGCATAAAATAATTGGGATAGAACGCTCCAGCGATGATTACCTTTAGAATTATAGACTTCTCACGATCATCCCACATATGGCAGGCGCCATAAGGCAAGGACTGAATATTCAAAGTTGCGCATCGCTGGCGCAAGTCCTGTACCATCAAGTGCATCTCCTTAAGCGAACGTAAGTTTACGTTAAAGCGCCTGGCCCATTGCTGTGCCGACTCCTTAAGCATGCGATCCTGGCACATGTTCAGATATATCTAAACATAATCCAACAAGGGGTAACATTTTAAATAGGTTGCTGGTGCTTTTTCATTTGCTTCTTACGCTATAGACGCGCCAAATGGCAATCATATCTGAGCCGGAACCATCAGCAAATATGTAGTGCATCCAAAATGCCTCGTTCATCTGTCCACGATTTTCAGTCAGGTACAAGCTTCGCACAGTCAATCCAGCCGCTGAGAACAAAAACTTCTTAAATGAAATCCCCTAAGCGATCGCTTTATCACTTACCAATGACAATAGCCTCATCCAGACAATTGAAGACATATCCCAGTATAATCAACCGGCTGAGACGTACGTCTAGTGGAAATTTGGACATGATTTTGCCCCAAAAGCTAAGATCGCCATCAAGCTCCTCATATACACCATCAACGGTCATGTACAAGGCGCCCACCTCCTTGAGAAGCAACACAGTGTTTTGTATGTCAGAAAGATTAGGCGGAGACATAGCTAGGGCCAAAATCTCACTCGGCTTGCCCATTTCGAGTTCTTTGGATTTTAGTACCGAATTTTGGAGCGGCGATCGAAGCATTTCTGGTATGCCAAACTCATTCATATGATTTGTATAAAAGGCTTTAGTCACCATACGATAAACGCGTCCGCTACGTAGGCGGCCAACGCGTCCAGCACGTTGACGGCAGTTTACCTTAGAAGCCCACTCCAAACGCAGGCTGCTAAAATTGGAGGCCGTATCGGTGTGCAGAACCTTGGTTAAACAAAAATCAATTACATAGGAAACATCTGGCACTGTAATAGAACTCTCCGAAATGTTGGTTGTCAATATGACCTTGCGATGGCCAAGAGGAGGAGGCAGAAAAACTTCCTCCTGCGAATCGGGTGACATGAGCGAGTGACAGCGCACAATACTAACTTTAAAGTTAGGGCTGCAAATAAATCAAATCATCAAATGTATATCTTTATGAACTGTTTCTTTACTTACTTTTCATCGACGATTCGGCTAATATGTTCCGCCATTGTGTCAATCTCGTTGATACCAGGCAGAAAGATCAGCACAGCGCCGGTTCGCTTTGCTTCTTCATAGGACTGCTGAGATTGATTATCGGCCTTACGCTCCATATTATCAATGACTAAAAGTAGTTTAATGGCATCGTTATAGCCCTCAGGTCCGATGCCTGGTGTGGTCTGTTGGGGCTCATCCTTCCAGTGTATATTCTTCAACTGATCGCGATAGAATTTGACAAGGGGATATTTGCGTCCATGGCTAGCGGTCACCACGGGGGGAAATGATGAGCTCATGGCAAAGTATTTTGAAAACTCGCGTGTATCAATTGTGGCCGACATCAAGATGACTTTCACATGGCGTGAGTTAAGTGCCAACAAGCGGCGCACCACGATCAATAAGAAATCCATATCCTGATCACGCTCGTGCACCTCATCCAGTATGATATGTGTGTAATGGGTTAGCGTTTTGACTCGTATAAGATTGTTGAGCAAAACACCTGTAGTGCAGTACAATAGACGCGTGTCCTCCAGATTCGATTGGCGATGTAATCCCACCTGATAGCTGCACACAGTACCCGGTTGCCATTTTCTCTCCTGGCACACGCGATTGGCAATCGAAATGGCTGCAATGCGGCGTGGCTGCGTAACGACAATATTACAAAATTCGCGCCGTTTGAATGCCTCATCCAGAATATATTGCGGCACCTAGCGGACAACAAATGCAACAAGATAATCGATAGCAATATTATAAATATACTTTTCGATAGTCCGAATCCATCGCCCAGATGGCAGCACAATGCAATTTTGTAAACAAATTTTAAAGTGCAAGCACAAGAGACTGAATTCCTGAATTGATTTACAGCAACGATTTGCATGGAGCGAAATGTATATGACGACTGCTGGCAACTGCTGCAAAAATTTGGACAAGCCGCTGACGCTTCAAAAGAGGCAAAGTTCGAACTGTTTTGCCAAACATGGCACGAGTTGCAAATTCAGCATATTTACTCAGCGCAAACTAATAATATTGAAGTGATTGAGACCACAATGGCCGCCCTGCACGTCGGCAAACGAGTGGCATGTGCTCGTCGCACTACCGGTGAACCATTCCAGGCGACACGTGCTCATCGTATTGGCGGCATATACTTGCTATATGCCATTTACAACAAGCAGCCAACGAAATTGTTTGTCAAGATTGAGGTGTCGCCTCGCACGTGGCAGTCCCTGACCGACTATGTGGAGTACCTGCGGAGCGAAGGCGCCGATCGCAGCGATACGCACCAAGTTAGTTACATATTCTGGCAGCTGGTTAAACAGCAAGCTTTCCGCTACACAGCTTTGGATTACTGTCAGGCACTAGATTCGCTGGCAGCCTACGACAGCTTGGAGAGCTTCGCGGAAGCTAAACAGAAAACGAATAATAGAGCGGCGCTGTTAAAGCAACAACTTAATTCTAGCAGTAGCACTCTTTCCGAGGAGCTACACGAGATAGCGGAAATTGCAGAAAACTGTAAGACTTTGTGCCAGCTGGAGGCGGCATACAACAAGCAGATGGAGCCACATCGTCATTCGTTTCCCGCTACAACCATTTTCACGCATTTACGGGACGTTTTCTGTCAGATAAACGATCTGTTAACGGACGAGGAGTGCCCCACTACATCTAGCGCCCCAAATGAGCAACTGGATCTGCGAAAGAAAGCCCGTCTCAAAGCGATGTTTGGCGAAATCAAAGAACAGGCGCCAACTGAAGAGGTTGATGAAAAGAAGCTGACCGAACCACGGGATCCTCACGAGCGCCGCATGTCATCGGCGACGGTGTTTTCGCGCAGATTACCGGATGATGTGATTCGTGACTTGGAATGCGAAAATCATTAGTTATACCATATAAGTTATTATAACATTGTATTCTTATTATATATGTATGTATAATTGTCAGGCTAAGAGCTTCAACTGTGAAACATTCACCAAACATTATATGTAAGATAAATGTAACATATTAAATTGATTTGCATTTAGCCAAGAACTAAAAATTTTAGAATTTCTGAGATCTTCAACGACTTCTGATAAACCAAGCATATACTTTTATAATGCAGACCCATGAAAATTGGATTCTAAATCTAATCTATAATTTAGTTTTAAATTCTGTCACGCGTTCATTATAAATGATTTAAATGAAACTTGGGCTAGGTGGAATTCAATGGAACATACCTGAGTAGTCTTACCACAGCCGGTTTCGCCTTTCAAAATTACCACTGGATTTTCCTTTATGGCTTCTAGAATCTCCTCACGTTGTTCGTAAATGGGCAGATTTTTGTTACGATTTAAATCGAATCGATACTTCTTGTAATATTCTTCATCAGAACGCACGCTGGGCAGGTCTTTCATTAGCACTTCGTCATCATCGCTGTCCAGTTCATCGAGAGTTCTCTTATTTTTCGATGTATTGTATCCGTCTGCAAGCTGTTTATAAACAAAAAGCAAAGCGAGGCTCCAATTACAAACGACTCACACACACATACATAAATGTGCACCGCATGCACACATACTTTGTTCATTAGGTGCTTCTCTTTCTCAACAATTTCATGTACATAATCTTTGCCTATTATCTCCCGCTTGATCGGCTTAGAATCTATAGTCTCTGTAGTAAACGCTGTCGGGTCGCCAGTTATACAGCCTTTTGGTGCTGGTCCGCGGCTAAACTCCTTTGAAAAATCAAAAAAGTCCATCAAATCATCCATGTTGTCGGAAATCTGAGATGAAGCTTAAGCACTTCCAAAAATTGCCTAAACTGTCTGCGCGCAACTACGATTAAACGGTAAATGAAAAATGTTCAAATCTGGCAATATTTATATTCCCTAGCGTTTACCAACACACATAGCCGATATATTGCTAAGCACTAAATATATCGATATTAATTTGACGTATCTATGCGACAAAAGTATCAGTATCGATGCTTCAGTAAACTATTGCTGCTGACGTTTGACAGTAGAGCTAAACGAAATATCAAACAAAATTATTACTATATAGAACAAATAAAATATAATACTTGGATCAAAATTGTTAAATTAAAGAAGCTGCCTGTAAGGAGCGCAAAATGACTCGTAAGTGAATCGTACACTGAAAATATCTTTATTTTTTCCGTCTGCTGACTGTAGAGAATCGTGAATCAAATAAATGCCGAGGTTTCAATAACTAAAATAATATGATTGTAGTAGATAAAAGAATATTGATTGCATTGCTTATGACCGCATTGTGTAAATAGGGCTTTATATATACCTTTATATACATATAGATATTTTAGAATATATACATATGCATATGTACTTATATGTATATATGTATGTATGTGCTTATACATATAGATGTGTGTATATGTATGTATATTCTTATGCATAGCGTTCTTCTAACCTCTACAAACAAGCTTAAATAAATTAGCACGCGAGACTAACGTAAAGCTAGCGGTTAAACGAAAAATTCTTTTCAACATATGATAATGAAAAATCATTTTTATTTGTTTTTAAGGCGGCAATCAAAGGGATCTGGCTCGCGCCAAAAATCAAAAGAAACTGGCTGAACAAACCAAAGGAAAACGCTCCGATGCCCTTACGGTAGAGCAACGCAAAGCCAGGTGAGATGGAAGTTGTCTGATAACCAGACCTACCTGTACATCTTTATTATTTGTTTATTTACAGGGATGCTGAACTGATGAGAGAGAAACAAAAGAAAAAGGAAGAAGATGCGGCCGCAGCTGCAGCTGCCGCGGCTGCTAGCAAAGGAAAATAATAACTATTGATACCAGTTCCAGCTAGAACAGCGTGCATCCGTGCAATCGTCTAAGGTCAACACAAAATTTTAGTTAGGCATAGTCAGTTACAAGTAAAGAAAGCAGCAGCCGCAATCCGGAGCCAACGATCGAGGCCAGCGTTCGACTCCAGGATAATCAACATCAAAATCAATTGGTTAAATTGCGCTAATTGCGCCAAATGTGAATGACGAACAACGAAACAGCAATGTTTATTAATAACAAAGCATCCTTAGGCAGAATATACCCACAAACACACACAGACAAAACCCAAAACGCCGTTTTATTATCCTGCTGAGCGATTTATTATCTTAATTATTTCTCTATATACCTGACTAAATTATTTAATGTAAAATATAAAAAAAAATTTTCAATAAAACATATACAGCCAAAAATAAACCAAAGCGCTTGAGTATATTTTTTATATAATACTATAATATTTATAGTATTATAATATTATTTCATATTTAAATAAAGAAGAAAAATTGAATGTTTTCTATTGTATTTTACGCTAGATTTTGCTTGTTGGCCATGAAAAACAAAATATACGATTAAATAAAATACATACACTTTAAATAATTTTGAACATACTATAATTTGGTGTGCCTGTGTTTGTAATAAAATACATTATTTTAATTAAAAAAATTTAATGCAACCATTCGTGTCTCAACTTATCCATATGTATATGGATTGCGATTAGAATAGATTTACATGGAAGGCATTCAAGTGTAAGCAAAAGACGCTCATTTATTGACTGTAAATGCAGACTTAGTACTAATGCAAATATAAACTATTGATGTCTAGATCTTCAGCTCTTAAATTTTATAATCCAACAAAAAAAAAAAAACATTTTTTTGTTATGTTGAAGGAGGAGTGATATGTACATGAATCTATATAAAAAAGGTTAGATCAAATCAATCAAACTTTTCTAATATTTCTTAATTACAATATTGCCTGTACCCATAGTAACTCTGTAAACTTTTTAATATTAGTGTAAATTAAATTGTATTATCAGATCCTTCATTATTGGTCAAAGGGTATCCACAAACGACAATCAATACTCTCTATTGAAGAGATTTTTCAATTGCAGCCTCAAATTTAGCACAAATTTGCATACAATAGATCAATTGTAGGTCAATGAGAAAAAGAAGATGATATATAAACGAAATGCCGAAGCTTGTATACTCTTTAAAGTTTATTTCAAACTGAAATTAAAGTAGAAATCGAAGAATTCCAGTTGTAGCTACATAATTCGAGCTGTAAGGAAAGTAAGCTGACTACAAATAGAAGCCCATTGCCAATAAGTTGAATGTTGTAGTAGCGTTTACCATTTGTATAAGCATCGGTGAAATGCCCAAAAACAAAAGTAGAAACCACGATCCACTGGCAAACAGGCCAAACTAACCAAAAATGGGCGACAGCGAAGCGTGTTGCCATCATATCTATGGCGCGTATCTTGAACAAAACTAGTCAGAGTTCCATGGGATACGGATGTCGATGCTGGGAGTGGGTCTGCAACTGGTACAGGGTCGCGTGCGAGACGCTCCCATGCACACAGAGTTCTTGGAAATGCAACAAATGCAACAACGATGACCAGTTGCCCGGGTAATGAGCGACTTTGACTAATGATTTGTTCAGGGATCTAGTGCAAAACGTTGTCGTTGATATCGCCAAGCAAACAAAGGTTCATTGTTAGTTTAGTCTATTTTGTTTGATAATACTATGGCAAGCAATAAAAAACACAGACCAAAAACAATAACAGGTTTTTTTAAGACTTACAAGTTCCCATAGTAGAGAAAGCTTCACATCGAAAGCTTGAATATTGCCAAGAAATCTTTAGTCTCAGAACTTTTCTATGCCAGAAAACAAAAGAAGAGAAAAATACTTAACGGCGCCGTTGTCGTCGACGTCGACGTCGCAGCAGCCCAGCGGTTGAGAGTTGAGAGCAACAACCGTTCGCTGTCGATCGCCTCTCTATGCGACTCTCATGAATAGCGTGCGCGCGATTTCAGTCGCTACGTGAAACTCGCCGCAAGCACAACGAAAACGCAAGCAAAACCGTGCCAAAAAGTTGTGTTAAAATTAAAGCTGGGCCGCCGATAGATAGAGTTCTCAAGAGAAGGAAAACAAAATAAATAATTATCATTAATTGCCAATTGTTAAAAAAGGGCTTACGTTGAAAGTGAAGTGCGTGAGAGATTGGAAAGTGTAAGTGAAATTTGGCCAACTGCCAGCCCTCTTATTTGGCAGCCCTTCAATGCGGAAGGAAATGCTAATGCAAATGCCAAGTGTGTGACATTATCAGCAGCCATTTGGCAAGTGAATGCAATTGCAAAAAATAAAAAATAAATAAATAAAAATAAATTGAAATGATAGTCTGCCTGGGCAGTGGGCAGCTCGATCGAGCGATCGATTGAACACCAAATGCAAATCAAGTGATAAACGATCGCCACGAAATTGAAATAACAGGCGTACAGCTTTCGGCTGATAGGGGGACCAGCTAACCAAGTTCCTAGTTCCCTCCCCCTTTGCCACTGTCGATCGGAGACGATCGTCTGCCATTGACTGTCGCAAGTCGCCACTCGCCCCTCGCCCCTTACCATTCACAAGCCGCAGTCGCAGTCGCAGTAGCAGGCGCAGTCGTGTGTTTCATTTTATTATTTATACAAAATATATTCAATTTCATTTAGCTGTCGTCGGCGTTGGTGTTGTTGTTGCCTTCGACGGCGTCGTCGTCGTCGACAGCAATTCCAATATTCAAATGATCATGATCACTTGACTTCAACGATCGCGTTTCAAAGCTCAGCAATTTCTGAGCGCCTGCAACGGCAGCGGCAGACGCCAACAAATTATGATAAATACGCTAAGCAACAAAAAAGCAAATACAATTAAATATTATTACTAACAACAGCTCCCGTTTACGTTCTGATCGCGAAGCCTGCTCTCACCTACATCTGCTGCCTCTGACCCAATTTGTGGACGGCATTGATGAAAACTTATGAGCAAAACAAAACAGTTTGTTTATTTTTTTTCCTACGGTTATTTTTGCTTTTGCAATTGCGCTCTATAAAGGCATGACTGCATATATATAAAAATATGTGTGTGTGTTTATTTATACTGAATTGTGTTTCCTTAGCGCTGCATTGCTGGGCATGATGTCAGCTCCATCTCCCACTAAAAGAGAACGCGTTGACATTGAATTTGACGTCAACAACCTACAATGCTGAATTTTATTTTTGGGCATATGACTTTAAAGTCTGAGACTAAAGAAAGTGCAAAACAACTGAAAATGCATATCGACTGGGCGAATGTACATACATATATTGCAAATCTACAAGTAAACACACTCAGCTCAATTAGCCAGCGTGGGCGTATACGTAATATTTAGCATAAATTATCATTTTTGGCCGCGGTCTGCGCTACTTTTTAGGTATGCCAGTCAGCGTTGCCCAATAAAAATCACATTCAAAGTCGATAAGGAGAGACGAGCATGGAATAAATTTAAGCCAATTTTTAAGCGTGGCAGAAGAGAAACACCTGTTTTATCTGTGAATTGTGGCTAAGGATAACGAGATTTTGTGTATATATACAGACATAAATATACGTAAGACAACTTAATGAAGCGTTGTCATTGCTCAAACATTGATGAGCACTCATCTTTGACACAACTATATATATGTAAAAAATGTATATACTTGTGTATAATATTTATTTCATGCTACAATGCGTCATTAGGTTGCCTTTTAGGTTTGGGCATTAAAACACATTAGGAACTAATAAAAGTGAAATAAAAACACAACAGCAGAGAAGCTTTTACATAGATCGGCTGTAAACTCGTATTGTTAATATATGAGTCTCCTGCAATCTGAATACACCCGATCAAGCATTTCGTTTGCCAGAGTATGCCAAAAGCCAAGAGAGCGAGCAGCAAAACGTGAAGGTTAAAATTTAC